CAGGGCAATCCTAGAGGGTTGGCAACCCTAAGTGAATGGCGTGTACAGGTGTTCACCATGCCTAGGACCTGCATGGGGAAATCTATGAAAGTAACTTAGAGTTGGGGGATGGGCAAGTAGGATCAGGAGTGGGTGCCAGTGGGTCTTCAGAAAGGGTTGGCAGGTCTGGGCACGATCTGGGGGGGAGGTGTTCATCTCAGGGGGTGGTCAGGGGACTAAAAATAGGCCAGTCAGGGTAGCAGAGGGGAATAGGAAGAGCACAGCCCTGGGGCTGGGGTGGGGCGAGCAGCTGGGCTTTCCTAAACCAAATGCCTACAGGCATTCAATAGATTGGACTAACCCATTCCTAATCTAAGTTAGTTTACCTCCTTGGTAGGCCCAACATTTTGGGACATTTTAGATCCCCCTGATGCCTGTATGGATGGACATTTAGCTTGACATAACCCTAGTTAGTAGGGCTATGAGAAATTTCGGTAGCTGTTTCACTTTGGAGGTATTTCAGCCTGTTTTGGTGCCTGATACACTGAATCCAAAATGAAATGGAAGGCTTTGAAACATCTCCAAAATGAAACAAAACCATCTGAAACATTTCAGAAATGTTTCAGAGGTGCCCCCTGGGAATAGTCTTACGCAGCCCCTCAGCCCTCCTTTTAAAGTGCCAGGAGGCTGAGGCTGGGCGGGGGCTGGGGCTGGGCAAGGCAGCCATGGGAGCTTCTCCCATGGCTCCCCCAACTGGAGCAGAGGCAGGCACAGCCAAAGGAGCTACGGGAGAAGCCCCCCATGGCTGCCCTGCCCAGCCCTATCCCTCACCTGGCCTCAGCCTTGCAGCACTTTAAAAAAAACAAACAAAAACCCCACACTCTCTGACTGTAGCAGTGGTGACTGGGGCCTTGGGGGGATCATGGCAGAGGCCCCTGGGCAGTGGGGGGCAGCGGGGGTCACCCTCCCACCTGGCACCTACATGGCAGCTGCCCCATGGCATGGGTGCAATGCAGTTTGGCAGGGCATTGCATGCTGTTTGGGAGCTGGGGAAGTTGGGGCTGAGTGGTGCCAGTCTCTGGGTGACTACTGGAGCCACTCCAGCTTCCAGACAGTGCGCAGTGCCCTACCAAGCCACACTGGACCTGCACGATGCCACAGCTGCAGTGCGGGTGCCAAGTGGGGGGGGGCGGGGGGCAGGCTGTGACACAAGTCCACAGAGGCCCCAATTGCCATTGCTGCAGCGAGTGAGTGTGGGGTGCTTTTTTTTTTATTTATTTTTTTTTTAAGTGCTGGGAGGCTGGGGCCAGGTGGAGGATGGGGTCAGGCAGGGCAGCCGTGGGGGCTTTTCCCGCGGCTCCCCCCACCAGGGCAGAGACAGCTACAGCCGGAGGAGCCATGGGAGAACCTGCAGCTGCCCGGCAGTGCTTGCTTCTCCCCGGCTGATCTGAATCAGTGCTGAAACTGTGAAATAGATTCAGCTGAAATGAAACAAGACTGTGATCTGAAACGTCTAAATGAATCACTGTCCTCCAAAATGGCCAAATCCGAAACAGAAACAAAACATGGTAGTTTCGCAGGGCCCTGCTAGTTAGGTCAATTTAAATGTTATGGCTGTACATATTCTACAATGTAGTGAGTGCATTTACTTTATTATTATTGTGAAACCTTCTAACACTGTATTCATGCAGAAAAACCCAAAACAACTATTTCGGATCACTTACTAACCCTACAATCTGATCCGTGCTACCCAGCCTTTTCCTTGGAACACTGCTGTGAATTTAGCTGTAGGATGAAGATTATGAATAAAACAGGCCTACTGCATATGCTCATTTAATTTTTCCCCAAGTACTTTGTAATATCCTTATACTTAAAATAAGTCTTAAACACAAGTGAAGGTCACACCATGTGTAACTTTGTTTGGAAGGACAGCATATAAATCTAATAAATAAAAATGTAGTGAATTAAAGCACGATCTGATTTAATTTATTTAATCTTTTTCTCTGGAGAGATTCCTAATATTTTAAATAATATTTTAGTGGGGTTTTGCTTTGCATGTTTTAGTCAGAACATTAAGAACCAGGAAAAGCTAGCTTTACTTTAGCTAAACAAGCTTATGAGCTGAACAGACAATAGATGAATTTATTTGGAAGCCACACTCAATTTTATAACCCTTAATCTGAACTTTTGGGAGTGAAAAATTTCGATGTTCACATTCTTGACTCAGTTAAAAATAAATTTATCAGAAAGATATGACAGATAATATTAAAAGAATGCCAGTTAGAGAAACTCAATGAACAATTGCAAATACAATTTACAGTTGCCGTATATATGGTTATGCATAGAAGAAATAAGTTGCAGTTTGATGTGCTTACACAAAACAAATACCGGATCACAGAACACACAAACTAAATCACCCCCATGAAGATAAATTCAAGAAAAAATATCAAGCAAAGCAAATAATCAAATATTATAAATAAATAGAACTATAATCATCATACTATAATCTGTAATGTATTGTAAAAACAAAACTCAATCAAAGCTGTGAACATAATAAATGAATAGATTATTTGCAGTTAACTATTAAGCTTCTGATAAAAGCTCCCACTCAAATCTTATAAACTCTTATAGGTTACAACTTAATTTAGTTTTCAGGATTAGATAGTAAACTGTCTAGTACTTCTCTGAGTCAAATGAACCACTAGCACGCCTCTCATCTGATGATATAAAATGTGTAGTTTTGATTATACTTATAAGCAAGAGCATTTTAGAGTTTTCCTAGTTTCAAAAATCCAGCTCCTGTTGCAAAGAACTGATAGCTGATATGAAGACATTCAACAGGTGGAACAGTATTTTTTTCTTTACTAGATATAGAAGTTATGGGAAAGGGAAACAGTTTTTACTATCTTTAAAACTCATTTAAGAATAATGGTTTCTTAATTAGAAATGAAATCATTTTTTTCTCCAGACTCGGGCAACAGTTAGCAGACTATTTTTCTTCTTTTAGTTGCATTTTTTGATTGCCTTTCCATAAGGGCTGGACTGACTTTCAGATCACAATGCTTTATTGCACAGGCTGCTTCTTCAAAAACAGCGGTGACAGGTGGATAAAACAATGCATGAGCTCTCCTAGATTGGGCAGCTGACATTTTAAACTGGTTAGATTTGCAGGGTATTCATGCATATGAGAGCCATGCAACC